GTGTATTCTTTTTTTGGATAATTAGTTCAAGGTAATTCTTATATCCATGAAACATTTTGCAAATTCAGTAGCTATTTAGATGATCAATTCACTATATTGCCGATAATGCGGTTAGAATTAAAAAACGTTAAATTTCATTTTAAATATCTAATTGTTACTCAGAAATATCAGTATGTTATCCTTGACCTTAAGTTATAACCTGCGCAAGTTCGTCTCAGCTATTAACAGAAGCTTGTGCCTTTCTACGACCTTCTGATTGAGCCTATCGACGATAAACCATCGCCTTAAATTTAAGTGTGACTATAAAACTGGAAAGATCGAAAGGCAAAAACCAACAGATGTTGCCAGGAAGTTCTAACATCGCCCACAATTTTGTCTGTAATGAAATTTATGACCTAAAACCTTACAAGGTTATCTGGCAAAATTCAGTGTTTGAAACGAAGATTAACAATGTCTTCATACGTGCAGTTACAGTATTGATTAGGCTAGATACAAATGAGAATGAAAACAGATTAAAACTTACTGTGAAAGCCAATAACTTGAAAATTGGTACAATTTATAGAGAGGTCATTTTCCTATTAATTTTATCAAATCCAATTTGAAAGAATTCAAATGTTTTAGCCAAAAATATTTAACACTGTCTTTCCAGCGAAACAAAAAAATTGTCAGAAATTTACTGCAGCTTACATAAAGGAGATTCCTCTCGCCTTTCGGAAGAGTAGTTCTATTTAACAAAGACAGCCAGCATTCAAATAAGTATAGGGGGCTCGTCCGCATGTCCTGAATGCTTAGTTTATCGGGTTTAGCACTTCTCGATTTATTGTTTTCTTGATCATCCTACTACATTTGACATTTATTGAGAATTTTACGTTTCATCAACTCCCCGATATCTGCGAGCGAGACCTGACAGTACATTGTAGTAACAGCCTTAGATGAAATATCCGCTAATTTGTTCCCGCTTATAACAGCACGGCTAGGTATCCAGGAGTACTGAATCCGATATCCCCAACACCGTAGAACTGAATAAGCTTCAAAATTCCTATAATAATGTGTGGCGAACTATATGCAGGGATCTTTCATAGGAATTAATGAGCTTAGATTATCTGTGCAGATAATGAAATTACTGTAATGTCTTTTCGAGAGGAATATTAAAAGTCTGAATAACTGTAGTATGTTCTGAAGTAAAAACCAAAGAAGCTGCGTGAAACAAACTCAAAAACCATCGTTTTCATCACAAAACTACACCAAAATTATCTCGAGATTTTGGTCTGACAGATAATTCTAAATTTATGTTCTATGTTCCGCAAAGTTCTGCCTGTAAATGATCCCCAGTGTTACATTTATCGCAATGCTTGAACGTATTAAAAAGCCGAGTTTTCTAGTCCTTCCATGATAGAATTTCAAAACGATTCTCTAGTTGTGTACTGATATTATATCTAGCAGAGTTCCTCCTCTTAGACCAAATAATAGTATACACGATATTCCTGCCCGATACAAACGAGAGCATAAATCATTGAGTAAATGTAAACGAATAGGAGTTGATTTGCGACAGAATTTTAAAATAGTGCTCGAGATACAGATGTTGACGTTTTAAATGCAGGAAAGTCTCAACCTTTCACACAGGCTTTCCACTGGAGATGTTCTAAAAACAATAGGGCAGATCCGAAGTTCCGGGTGATGTACAGAATCACGTTTGACAACAGTATCTTTTTTATGGAGCCGCATTTAACTAAAATACGCTGCTTTGCTAATATATTGTGTAATTTCGAATTTTAAAAAGTTTGAAATGAAAATTTATTAACGCATAATAATAAATCATTCAGTGTATGTCGAAAGATTTCATCCTGAATCTTCAGTTTCTAACCAGCAATTCATAGTTTGCTTATTAATCAAAAAACATAGACGACCACACCTAAAATAACCAGACGATTTGATGCTGTAACTGAAATGAAGCGAATTAAAAGTTAACGCTGCAATACATCAGTTATATAAAGATTACTGATCTGATTTAAGCTGCTGTTAAAAATTATACTGGCACAGTTTTTGGAAAGAAAGCAAGCCAAATCTCATTTTCAGTACTCTAAAGTTAAAAATAGGTTGAAGACCAGTCAATAATAGTCATGTCGACTACTGAATACATTGAAAGAATCCAAGCTTCGCAAAATTAATTTAACATTCTGCTTTTCTTCAATCCCTCTCTAGAAACCAAAGATGGGAAATTTCAAGAACACATCTATTACAAATACATTTGTCAAAGGACTGGGCAGGCACAAACTGCTACAAGTCCACCAGCGGCCCAGCGGTAAAGTCGCTGAACACTTAATTCCGATCCGAGTTCGATTCTTATGCAGGGCTGGCTGCGTTGGCGGTTTTTATGACTCACCATATATAACGTGTATACGAGCCGATTTTATTAGAAAGTCCTTTATCACGAGGACATCAGTTTCCAGAGACAGGTAGTCCTAGTGTGCTTTGCCATAATCTCAATAGACCAAACCAAACGAACTGATACACTAAACAAAACTATAAATGTCATTAAAATATATTGAATCTTACTTTAACAGTAAAAATCAGATTTAAATTTGCATTGAAATAAATAAACAGAAAATTTGATTATTCGCATACTTCGCGAAAATCGCGAACTGAAGAAAAACATTCATTGCTTCATAGATTTTATTCTATTCATGAATAATGAAAAGCATTTAATAAAAGAGAAAGTTTGGGTGGGAAAACCAAAATCTATAAAAACCAATTCATACCTTTTACAACTGTTCAGCGAAACGGCGATTGAATGTAAAGCATATACTTCCGCGTATATTTTACACACACATGTAATAAGCCCCATGCATGGGTCGACTATTATTGCGTGCATTCAGAAACAAAGAAAACAAAACATTTCTGCCATATGTTTAAATCTGAAGGATGAATAATCGGAAAGAATCAAAATACATACTAAAATTCAGTTAAGTAAGCTCCTTTATATATTTTTCAGCTCAACATATAGAAATTCAAGAATACATTACAAATGTATCAAAAGTTCAGTGACAACTTCCGAGATGACCGCTTGCGAAATGTCATCTCTGAGAGTAAATATTTGAGAAAAATACTCAGTATTGAGAAAAAGTCGCTTTATTCCTTTAGGGCCCCCGGGGATCGACGTAGAGAATTCTGCGAAGCTACTGGCTAGGATCTGTACCTAGGCAGTCTCGGCCACGGGGGGTATAAAATTTATGAACTTGGTGGTTCTGAAGGCTCTGGGAAAGGTCACTTATTGGCCGGCCTCGGCCTCGGAGTCTGGCATGTCCTAGCGCGGCGTGGTGCTAGTAACCCGGGGGTTATCCCCCGGGGTCGCTGGGTAATGTCCCGCTGCGACGGGCTCGCCCGAGCGACTGGTAGGAGCATTAGACGACCGGTGCTGCCTGGTGTCATATCCAGGTGGTGCGCGGCTCTCCTGGAGGGTAATAGTGGAGGTTGAACCTCTACGACGTGCCCAAAGGGAGAGTCGACCTGCAGTGAGATTAAGTTTCCTCGGAGCAGAGAAGCCGAAACACCATAGTTATTCCTTTAGATCAGTTTTGGTCAATAAACGTAGTAGCAGCATACATTAAAAATTAAAATGGCAATTGGTTGTTTGACTTTGTTATTCAGTTTTCAGTATCCTACGACTGTTCAATAAGCTTAGAAGTTTAAATATTAATAAAGTAGAAAATTCTGTCTCTTTGTACCTCTAGAGATATATTAGCATTAAGCGAAGTAAGTTATATTTTTGTTTTGGAACTTCAGTATCAGAATTTTTAATGGAAAGTGCTTGAATATATTTACTCTTTCACCTTCATTAAGGAAATAAATACCCAAATCTTCTGATTAAATATATAGTAAGAGAGACGTAACCAACTAAAGTTTGAGAATTTTCCATACAATAACGTTAGCACACTCTTTATTTAAAACACTTTGCCTTAAAATGCTTGACAATAAAAGCAATGTGCATTTCAATACGCATTACATTAATTACACACTTACTGTTAATTATTAAACAAATTATTACATTAATTACACACTTGCTGTTAACTTCCGTTTGTTTGAACGCGATGTTTTACGACTTAATAAAATTAAAAAATATCCTGGATTTCACCGCTTATAGAATTTAAACGGTATCGTTTAATTAGTGAAAATAATTCAGCAACTATTAGCCCTGTCACCAGTTAAAATTATTAAATTATGTGATACTAGGTACAAGAGACAAATTAACTTAAAACCGTATTTCAAAACAATTCGTTAAGTTTTTGTTCTACGATAGTTCTATGACTTCAGGTAAAAAAATTGAAATTTCCCGAAATGGTTGAACAGAATCCGAGTATCAAAATTGCTAAAACTGGTAGTTCGATTCAGATTCCGGCTAACATGCTGACAGCTTGTACTTTGTTTTCCCAGGTGTGTAATGTGAATAAAGTCGGTTTGCCTTAGAACGTTCTACACAAATGTATCCCCCCTGTTTGGCAGATACTTTTATCCAGCTTTGCCATAATCAAACAAATCTAATATTAAAGCCATTCGGTTATGTTTAGTTTCAAAATCATTTTCCATACTTTGCCAAAATAAAATATGGGGAAGTGCTGCATACATCACTTAGATATTAATATTTATGTTGCAATAAAGGACTTTTTTAACTCAAAATACTACTGAAACATTTTACGCATCTTCGGGGTTTAAAATTTGACTGAAGAAAAAATAAAAATTTCCAGATTTATGTCTCGTTGTTTGCTCTAAAGAAAAATGACCCAAATATAAACAAAATTAAAAGAATTTTCAGAAATTTGCGCAAAATTTAAATTGGAAAATGGAAAACAGAAGCAAGACTAATTGGCAGCAAATTGTGATTCTTTTTTAAACACTTATAAAAAAATTAAAAATGTTTCCAGTTTTATTAATTATAACATTGTTTCCGAAGACTGGGAAATAACATTCATTATTTTATGGATATAAGAAAAGAAAAAACTTACGTTGCCGGTAATGGATTTTTAGATACCAGACCTTTTTCTCGGATAATTTCTATTGGCACCTTAATTGGCTTTGGAATTGGAACTGGAAAAGGCTTAGGCACTGGAACAAAAAATGGTTTTTTTACAGGAACCAACACTTTATAAGGCACAAATTTTGGAACAGGTACTGGCACAGGCTTCTTCACTATTGTTGGCTTTGGGACCTTTATGTACTTAGGTACGAGGTACGGCTTTGGAAATGGTATCTTCTTAGGAACTTTTATTACTTTCGGATAAGGAACTATTTTAGGAATTATTTTTACTTTCTTCACTACTACAGGCACAGGAAATTTCTTTAGAACTGGAAACGGCTTTAGAACTGCTATAGGCTTAGGAATTTTAACAATTTTAGGTACTGGTACTGAATATGGCACCGACACTTTGTGCGGTTTTTCCTTTACAATTATATGAATAGGTTGTTTTACAAATTTTGGTACTGGTACAGGTTTGGGTTTAAATATTGGTACCGGGAAAGGTTTCGGCACAGGCACGGCAATTTTCTTAAAATAAGGTTTTGGTATAGGGATTGGTACTGGCTTCTTCACAATGTATGGCTTGAAAACTTTTACTGGCTTTGGTTTCATGTACGGTTTCGGTACTTTTACAATTTTAGGCACTTTTACAAACTTAGGTACAGGTACAATTTTAGGTATTGGTTTCACTTTTGTAATAACATAAGGAACAGGATAAAATTTTTTAACGGGCACATGTTTTATATAAGGTACGATTTTCGGCATCTTCACAATTTTAGGAACTTTAACTATTGTAGGTACCATAACCTTTTTAGGAACTTCCTTTATTACTATATGGATCGGTTGTTTAACAAATTTTGGAACCGGTACGGGAATAGGCTTAAATTTTGGAATGAGAACCTTCTTCGGAACAGGAATTAAAACTTTCTTCTTATAAAACTTTGGAACAGGAACTGGAAAAGGTTTTGGTACTCCATAAGGTTTGGGAATTGGGATTTCCTTCTTGTAGAAATAAGGTTGAGGAATTGGAATCTTTTTCACGATTTTAAACGGCTTTGGTACGAGCACTTTCTTAGGTATAGGTTTAATCTTTGGAACGAAAAATGGCACAGGAAGAGGTTTCAGCACTGGCACTTTCTTCAGCACAGGAACAATTTTCGGAACAGGAGCATATTGTTTAACAGGATATGGATGAGGGACATTCACGACCTCCGGTTTATCCCGTATGATAATTTTAACTGGCTGAACTGTCCAGTCCTTTTTTGTGCCACCCTTAGGAATGTCAAACAAATCCAAGCCTGAGGATGCTTCCTCAAGCACATTTTTGCTGCTCGCATACTCGTCTTCTAACAGACTTAACCCAACGGTGGTTATGGCAAAGAAGATGAGAACAATCGAGTAATCCATCCCACCTGTAAAATTTAATATTAAACATTAAAAAGTATTACTCTTTGGTATTTCAAAAATATTTTATTTTAATTATTAAAGATTTAACATGAAACCTCTAATAACACGTCGACTGCAAACGTTGATGGCGAACCTGCCAAACTTGAGTCGATCGTTGAGCGGAATTCTGAAGGAAAAGACGACTATTTAGTTTAAAATCGACGGTTACAAATTTTTGATACATCAAAGAAAACGGTAAAAGATTTACAATTATTTGTCAAGTAAATTAATTTAATTTGGCCTCGGTCTTTTTGGCTGCCAATTTTTGGCTGCCAAAAGCCTCCAATGGCTTTTAAAATGACTACAAAATAACACTGAACTCAGTTTCACGTGAATTCGCTTAAGTGCGAATCTAAGTGAGTAGTATTAATCCTGGCGATACTTTTGTCTTATTTAGAGAATGGAGCAAGTTAGAAACAAATTAATACATTTGGATATATAAGTTTCCAATAAACCGTAAGAAAATTATGACTTTTTTCCAATAACAGAATAACATAGCAAATTGCAGCAATGCATTTTAGGATTTGTATAAAACCCTCTCAGTTTAAATATTAGAATCAAAATACTTGTCTGTAATTTTGATATAAGAAATCTATTCGTATATTACAAAGATGTATAGAATTGAAAGTTCAAATTTTCCACTTTAAAATACAGAATATTCTCTTTGTCGTTGCTTGCACGAGAAAGCGAGAAATTTCACCAATTTTATCACGAAACTATTAAGTTTAAAATCAAATTTATTGGTGCAACTGGCGAGAACAGTAACTACATCAAGCAACAATTACAAACCTTTTGAGAGGTTTCCAGATTTAGAATCCCGGATACGTGCACAGTATATCTACCTAGACAGAGATCCGAGTGTCTAGAAAACAGCGATTTGAAGGAAAATTGTAACCGCTTTTCCTTCTTAATATTCTTGCAGTATTTAGTGATATTTTCATTAAATTCAAGTCGTTAATATATCGTTATAATTAATTCAGTACTTTTTTCTGAGTATCTGCAGTGTTCTAAAAGCTGAAATGTCATTTTCTAAAGTGATACTTTATTTTAAAGAATATTATAATAATTTACTATTATTAAAGCAGGCGCATATATGAAATGATTAGCATCATTATGCACTTTTTTCAAGAAAGGGCTTGAAAATTAGCCAAGTTCTATAGTTCCTAGATTTTAGTCTTTGAGCCTTAATAAAAGAAACTGTATGGTGTTAAGTAGAATTTCCCTTTTCCACATGCTCATTTGCATTAGACGTATTTTAAAGAAAGTATGTATATTCCGTTATAAGATAACACACTCAAAATAATTTTCTCCTGCTTAAGATTTACGCGTCAACAATGCTTATTAGCCACTGCTTATAATGCATTGTTCTTATAACAGTACTTTTGTTTTCAAAGTAAATATTATCAATTAAATGTTTTTAAATGTATCGCTGTTTTGTTCTTAAAATAATTCCCTAAAAATACATTACAAGCTTTTGAAATATTCAACTAAAGATACATTTCTTAGGTTTAGAAGTATATTTCCACAGTCGAAATGAGTCGACTACGAAACTATGTTTTATTTACTAAAGCATCAAATTGGCTCCTATTTATTTCTAGAGAAAATTGGTGCGTTTTGTTTGAAAAACCCAAAATACGTGTGAAGTGTAAGTAACCATTGCCAATAGTTATGGTTAGATAGCATCTATGAAACTGGTTGGGAACGATAAGTCTTACAAACTTATAGACTCATTATTTTCAAAAATAAAGCTAACTTCAGCCATTGGAACATGGGTAAAAACATACTGTCTTTATAAAGTAAATCAGATTATACACATTGATGATTATCTACCGTATTTGCTATCAAGTTCAAACGTTACTTCGAGATTTATATATATTCTTATTTAAAAAAACGAACGAAGTTTACTTATAGGATAATTGAGAATAATGATAAACGTAAGTTGACTTCCTAAATCCAATGTTTTGAAAAATCAGTTTCAAGTCTTATGTATAGGTTTGGTTCTTACAGAAGTGGTGTTCAAATATTCTGGACGCCCAATAGAGGGCGATCGGTGAACTCCTTGAACACTTGTAGTTCAGAGTTTCAAATCCAGCAGAACGAGCTGGCTGCATGGGCGTTTTCGTAGTTTTCTCCATGCGTAACGTAAATATATGCTCGTTTTCCTTAAAAGTCCTCCACGAAGCATCCGATCTCTGGCTTAAACCATTTTGTGAGACTTTGTAATTAAGAAATATTCTGGACTGAAAGAATGGTTTAAAATGCAATAAAAGTAGTTTTCCCTCGAATATTTCAATTCCTAACTAATTTTCAAATTTAAAAGTGATTTTTTGAGACAAGATATTAAAATTTCGGAAAAAATTAATTCAAGTCTAAGCATATTAATTCAAAGGATTTTTTAAAATTAATGCTTTACAATTTAAAAAATTTTAATTAAAAATAATGGAATCTTTTATGTAAATCTCGCTTACATTAAATACCTTTCAACAAAAATCTGAAAACATAAACCTAAGTGAACATTAAACATTTTATCTGTTAAATGATTTTAAAAAGTTAACATGGTATGAAAATAGTTTATACTTACTGAGAAAGGTATCTCGAAAGCTCCTATGGAACTTTAAACATGCTTTTAAACATAAATTTTGAAGCTCGTCATTCAGAAGCGAGCAACTCTGCTATAAAGTAAAGGTAATTTCTTACAGAACGTCTTAAAAACGTTTCGCTTGGGAAGGCTATCACGTGACTAACGCTTCTGCCAATGATGGTAGTATATAATGATGGATTTAGAATCGATTCTATTCTTCAATACTTTTTATATTTTTTCGCACCTCTCCTTATTTTACTATTTTTGAAATGATTTAATTCTTGCTCCTAGAAACATATGAAAGTATTTTTTGAATAGCAATTTTAGAGAGGTTGGAGAAAATACACCGGACACAGCATTTAAAGTTACTCACTTCCAAAGTGGGGTAGTACATTTATTATACACAGCAATAAATGCAACTGAATAGAGTTAGCTCAGTCATTGTCTTGGATTCACAAAAGACATCTCTCTTCCTTAGTGCATCTCAAAAGCATCCTTCATAACACTCGAAGAATCAATGGCATTTCACAAATACACTCACCTTAATGCGAAGCAGGGTGCGTTATGGTACATTCGCAATCTACGCAGATATGCAGATGCGAAATTATGTGCATGAGTCAAGGCTGCAACTGGCGCTTTTTCATGTACTTTGAATTGATGTCTTAGGGAACATAATATGGCCTTAAAATGGATGTGGCAAATATGGAGAAAATAAGAGGACATAACCCTGAACAGGGAAAGAAGGAAATATAATGAAGTGATAGGACTTGACTTATTAGAGTAAAATTCAACTACTAAAAAGATGGGACGAGTATGGTCTCAATACAGAATCCATCTACTTGAAATAGTGGTCTTACTGTCCAATATTAGGGTTATTCACTTTATTTGCATTTGCCAGAGCGATTTTTGCTAGCTCCTTGAGGGATTCAGGCACTACTGGTTGACTGAAGAAATGGATTGCATTCGAGAAAACTTGGAAAAAATCTTGAGCTTCTTAAATGTGTTGCTCCAGTCTTCGTTTGTTATTCTGTTGAATTTATGTTTCGTCAAAATGTGCATAGTCTTCAAATTTTTAAGGGACGTTCTTGTTGAAAATGAAGTACAATTCTCGTCCTTCTAAATTTGTGGTATGCTTTTTTCACAGCAGTTCGTACATATAGGCACAGAATCTTTAAGGCAATCCCTGGATTCATGGTTACTAACAAATTTGACGCTCAGAGAGGGGATGTCTGCAGGAATTTTGAGCATGATGTGAAAGCTTTGACATTTGAAACATTGGGTTGGCCATTCGTTTCCTTATGTACCTCAGCTTTAACGTTTAGATGAAACAGACATTATTATATATATATATATATATATATATATCTTTGTACCCTTCATTAACGTTTACTCGTTTTTTGTCATCATTTCCCGGAGATAAAAATAGGTTGGCCTTTATGGCAGCAGGATTGAAATAAATTAAACTTAGAGCATCTAACATTAAAATTAAATTGGAATCAAGGAAGTTCCTCAACAATAGTAATAACTGCAATCATGGTAAGAGGTGTAAAACTGTAGCTAAACATGTCTAAATTAAAATGAGAATTCATCAGTAGAACGAACTCGAAAGATAAAATGCGAAAAGTAAAAAAAAAAAAAAAAAAAAGGTAAGGAAAAAATATACGAAATTATAAAAATATAAAAATTAGCATCTTTTTACTGAAGCCCTAATTCAGAACTCATCAGGGGAAAATGAATTTCCCCTGATGAATAAAATGAATTGAATTTTCTGAAAAGTTTCATAAAATTCGATTAATGTATTTCGAAAGCATGTTTTGTTCTTCGAGTCCATTTGAGATCAAAAACCGAAAAAAGATTCAATTAAATTTTTATTTAAGACATTAAAATTCATTTAAAACAGAAAAGTTGAAAAACCGAATCTCAAGTGTATCCATAATTTTGACTACACGCTTTCCAAACACTTAAAAAAAGTAATAAAGCAATACATTGTGTCAAATTGGCTACTCATAAAAGCAATAAAACATTATATTATGCAAACTGACCTTTAAAAAAAACAAATTTGTTAAATAACATTGTATGTAAATTCGACATTCAAAAGCAATTACAAATTAAAGAGGAAAAAATGTATATATACTTTAAATCAAATCGTCATTAAAATTGGGTGGTCTCCGATTATGCGATCCTAAACCTTTAGTACCAAGAAAACGAAAAAAGAAACAAAAATTGAAGAAAAGGTCAACTTCCTGAATTCTAAAGACGACCATGTTTTTCCGAATTGTCTTCCTTGAAAAAGATGTTTTGTTGACCTTGAAAGACGTTTTTTTTTTTTTTCAATTTTCTCAGTTCTTACCTTTTTAAAGTTCAGATTAGATTTTATGTTATCTACAGAATTCTCTTCTGAAAAGCTTTTCGTTTTCTTGGTGTTAAAAGTTTAGGGTCGTATAATCGCGGACCACCCAATTTTTGAATGGTGTTTTAATGATAGTTTGATTTAAAGTATATTTGTTTTGCTCTTTAATTTTTAATTGCTTTTTAATAGCAGATGGCATATAATGTTACTTGACCAATTAGTTGTTTTTTTTTTGAATGGTCAATTTGCATAATGTAAAGTTTTTTTTGTTTTTTTTTTGAGTAGTCAATTTGGCACAATGTAATGTTTTATTCTTTTTTCTAAGTGTTTCGAAAGCGTGCAGGGAACGTTCCGGATACATCTGAGATTTAATTGAATCGTTTTTCGGTTTTTGATCTCAAATGAACCAGAAGAACGAAAGATGCTTTCGAAACACTAATCGACCTTTATGAAACTTTAATTAATTTTTCTCTGATGAGTTCTGAATTAGAGTTTCAGTAAAAAGATATTAATTTTTATAATTTTGTATATTTTTTCCTTTTCGTATTTTTATTTCTCGTGTTTGTTCTACTGATGAATTCTTATTTTAATTTTGATTTGTTTAGATATAGTGTTAAACCTCTTATCCATGGTTGCAATTATTAATATTGTTCAGGAATTGCCTTGCTTTGATTCCAATTTAATTTTAACATTAGATGCTTTAATTTACATAGAGAGAGAGAGATAGATATATACACACCTGTCAAGATTTCTCAGTCTATCTGAGAGTAATAAGAAATAATGTAAACGTGGTAATTTAACTTGGTAATTCATTATCCTTATATCTACTTATTGATCAATGCACTCATCTACGGATTTGAGTTCTAGGACTTCATTAGGAAAGGATTTAACTTCGTTAGGAAAGTCTTCAATGAAAGCGGACTTGTGTAAGTTTCTAACGAAAACATTTATTTTCATCCGGAAAGATGAAGGACTAAAAAGTAGTTATTTAGGCTCTTCCTTTTGTAAAAGTACAATATTCATTTGAACTTTTTAAGAAGATTTGGTAATTATTTTCAGAGATCTTGCACCTTCTAAAATTGCCGAATATGGCCTGTTTGCTGAAAATCTATGTCAATAGAATCAGTTTTTTATTATGTAAAATGATTGGCGAGATTTTAGGTTGGACATGAGGAAAACCGGATTAGGACCCGAGCTTTGATCCTCATTTCCGACGAGTATTTACAGTCATCTGATGAATTGCGTGTTTAAAATATGAATGTCAAATGAGATGTGAGCGAAAACTGCTTCTTTCAAGTACTTGTATAAAACATTTTCAGCTACATTCCAGGTCCCAAATGTCAGTCGGTTTGATTACATTCAGCAGCTTTTGCTGAGTTTTCCAGACGTTGGTGCCGGAGACTTATTTTATACAGAAATCTGAAAGCCCAAGTTTTTTCTCACATTTAACCCGTCATCAAACAGGCAATGAGATAAAAAGCACCATCAGGAGACTTAGGAATATCTTGCCGTTTACTCTACTTCACGTCACAGCAAGCGTACTCGGAAGATGACACATCCATTTTAGTTGGAAGAAATCTTCAAGAATCTGTATTTAAGAAATGAAGCCTGTTTTATAAGTCTAAGATACTTACTTACTCAACTAATTCAAGTCGTATTTACTGTTATGTAGAAAGTGTATTTATCGTTGTGTTGAATAAATATATCATCCTACTTTAAAATGGGTCATGTTAAAAGCCTCATTGTGTATAATGATGTCCTATCATTATATTGACTTTTAAGAATATATTATTATTATTTTTTCCATACATGTGGAAAAACTGAGTTAAATATTGAAATACGTTTTTGGCTTAGTATTATTTGTTACAATGTTATTGGTTGAAATCTTATAAACATCTGCAACCTTTTTGGTGACCTCTAATTGTAGTGTCGCCAAACTCTTGTTCGTCAATTAAATGTTTTCCAGGAGCATAGTTCAGTTTACATTGAAATAAACTAATGCAGTTAATTTCATAGTATTCAGAGAAATGTGGGTTTAACATATTAGAATAGTTTAAAGATCCCTGTAAAGTAATGATCCTGCCTAATTTAACTAATGCAATTTCGTCGATTCCTTTTTAAAACCAAGAGCATCGAGTTAGCTAGTGAACTGACAATTCAATATTTTTAAACCTAAGTTTCGTTGGAAATATAGTAATGATAAATACTTGATTTTACAGTATCATATTTTCTTTTAAAGTACTGTTACCAAGAATTCTCTTTAAACTGAATAATAAGATAATTATTTTTAAATCTCATTTATTAAACTAAAAAATGAGTGCAACACGAATCACGCAGTCCAGATTTCTCTTTATTCATCTTGCTGTGATGCAGGATTCTATAAATTTAATTAAATTTTAACAATCTGCGTTCCTTGTATATTTTTTTTCTAAAATGCAGAATTTTATGCATATAATGGATCTTACTTTTGCTAAAAAATTTTGGACTGTGTTCATGCAACCTAATTTATCAGCTTCTTAAACACTGTAGTATATGGATTAATTTTGATTGTCAGATTTACTAATAAGCTCGTCTCAGTACAAATTTATTTTATAGCTCTGTATGATAAAGTTTTCAGCAAAAGTTAAAATTAATTGTGCAGCAAGTCTTTAGCTGGCATAGCTAGCTCTAGTATTGTTCATTGCAGGTTATGAATTATGCCTGTAAAAAGTT